AGCACTAACTTTCAGTTCATGCTGTTATTTAGAATTTACTATGTTGTCATATATCTGTATACTCTCATACGTCGGCAGAACTCTGAAACTCTTATTTTTTCTTACTCAATCACAAGAGGCTATACGAGAGCGCGCCACCCCGGATCAGTGCAGAAGGATTTAATCCCAATGCAGTTGGTGGAGCGACCGAACAAAATCAACGCTAAAGTTACTGTGACTATCCCCCCTCACAGTTAGCAATTTCACAAGTACAGTTACAAGGTTGACATCATCGTCCCTCCACACTCACAAACCCATCCCGCCTTGGACAGCCTCCGACATCAACCATGTAACGTCCCCACAGCCGTGGGGCAGACAAGACAGTACCATGTGGTCCCAGCCGAGCCTGAACCAACCCCCGAAGAATGGATATTCCGATTAACATAAACGAAGTTTTTTTAATTTAAAATATACTCACCTTCATTTTTTTCATAATTATTAATAGTTACGAAGAGATTTTATTCCACAAAGGATTGCAGAATGTCTGCATCCAGCTCTGCAGATCTTCAGTGAAGAGGCTTGGTTCTAGACTATATAGTTTCCGGCTCAGAATTACTGAAACCACCGTCGACACTTTCCTACCCTTATTGTTCGATATCTATATACAGCATTAATACTCCTATTAATAATTATTTAACTGAACTCATGAAGCAAAATATGATGATCAGGCTTCTTTTCCCTCTTTATTTTTAGCTTATAATACAATAAATTATACTTATATTACTTAATTAGTTTCATTAAATTAGTCAATGCGTGAGGAAGATAATAAATGCACCTCGATTCTGGGAAATGAAAATAAATCTAATATAGTTTTATTCAAGCATTTATCAGCTCCTCAGATTATATCTGAGCCTGCTTGTACACCTTTTTTCTGTATGGATAGATGGATTTCTGTGCACACATTTCAATCATGTATTTTAATAAATACAGTGATTGTCAGAAAAATATGTCATAGAAAGTATATTTCTTGACTGATATAATTATTCATTTCTAGCAGAAAATCTTTTATTCAGATTTCGGTTAGCGTTTGCTAAAGTTAATTAAAAGTATTTTGAAAAGAGATTAACCTTTTAGAGAGTGGAAGACATTCTTAAAACTGTTTCAAAGTCTTGTGAAAAAATGGCATACGAAATAAAGGAAATTCTTAGTGAAAACTCTAATGCTTAGTGCAGTGCATTTTTCAGTTTATGATTTTTTTGTTTCAGAAGCGAAATATTGAATGATAATGAAGATTATAAATTTTACTTATTTAGAATAAACCAAAGACATTTTTAAAGAAAGGAATCTTTTAATATTCTATTTAAAACTTTTCTGTAAGAACTGTAATTAATTATTAATTAATTTTCGAATAACTTCATAACGCCTGATATAATACCCATAGTGTAATATTTACTTTAAAAGTCCAAGCAATTTATGATTCTTGTTAAATGCATTATTTACAATTATTTCTGTAGATATTAATGGTCTGCATCCTTTTCACTTGAGAAAGCAAAACTCTTTGAATGCAATATAGTTAAATTTTCAGGGTCAAAAAATGTATTAATCTAAATAGTATTTCAGCTTAACTTTGTACAAATTTCCAGAATATGTCTTATTGCCTAGATCATGTCCGTCTTTTTAAATGAAAGTCTTGATGTAGAATGATAAAGCTTAGATAACGTAATTACCTAACTCTTTCTAACACAGTCATATTCTTCATAGACATAATTCATGGGTTAAAAAAACTAATTTCTTAAATATATGAATGAATTGCCTGCCTTATCTATATAATAATGTGAATCAGAGTCAAGATTAAACCATGCTTTATCTATATAATAATGTGAAGCAGAGACAAAATCCTTCCTACTATATTGGAAGAATATATTGATTATCATCTTTGTATTGATTATTAGCGTTATCCTCCTTCATATTTAACTCAAGCAATAAATTACTTTTTCGATTTCCTTCCTTCATAGAAATTTATCATTCATCTTAGCCAGCATTTGTTACTTTTACTTAGTTATCAACAAATTATATAAATCATATTTATCCATTTTCGTCATCTCCGATTTTTTTCCTCACATTTATCTTATTATTTTTATTACAATTTCACATTCGTTAATGATCAGCATTCCCTTTAATGAAATTGTTGCACCTAAGTTACCATTAGCCACTTTTTGTTCTAAAATAAATTTGAAGGACAGAAAATTCTAAATTTCAGTTATTCGTGTTGTAAAGATCTTTCTGCTATAAAACAAGTAGCATTTATTCTGGGCCTTACGAATTCATTCAAATAAGATACTAATTTGTAATATAAATACAAATGAAAATTTCTAAGTTTTAGATTACTATAGCATAAAAAAGAGTGCGAAATTAATTCTCGAACATTCATTTAAGAATAAATTTGTTTTGGGTCGCTTTAGCATTTTATGTTTATCCTTTATTCCTTGACGATGATAAAATATGAGAAAACAAACTGGGAATCGAAATGCTTTCACGAGTGCAAGGTGTTTGTTTAAAAATAGACCCTAAGTGAGCTTGATCCTTTTCTAAAATTCTTGCTTTTCATATTAATTTCTAAGGATTAATAAAATAATATTTATTTATTAAATTGTGCAATGCATGCGATAAAAAATGTATTTAGATTTCAATTTAATAATGAAAATTACTCATACTGAATTAATCTCCTGAACATAAACTAAATACAGCTATATTTTTAACAAGTATAACACGTTTGAATTAAAAATACAAATATGCCACGAAATCATGTGTAACTTCCAAATAAATGAATTTAAAGCTATTAATAAATGTAATGCCAATTTCCAAAATGGTACTGTCATGCTAAACTGCATTACAGTTTTATTTAGAAAACATTCATAACTAGCCGATATATTAACAATGTTGACAAAGAGGCAATGTTGGTTTCCCTTAGTTTTTAATACATTTTAAATGTAATAATCTTATATTTAAATATTTAAGTGTTATTTCTTTCTCGTATACCGAAGTTTATTAGAATTATGTATTGTGAAATAAAAAATATTCATAACTGCACATGAACTAATCGTGACATATCTTCGGAAACAGAAACTGAATTTTATACCGATACTCTTCATTACCGTGGACTATATAAGCAAATTATCGGGAACATATTGGTAATGATAATATCTTCAACTTATCTCTTTCATTGGCACTTGTCATCAGGCATAATCCCTTAATTTTTATTTCATCTATTATGTTTAGCAATTGTTCTCATTGTTTTCCATTGTTTTCATTGTTTATCAATTGTTCCATAACACAATTTCATAATAAAATCCATAATGTAATTTCCATAATATAATTTCATAATCATATTTATGATATAATTTAGTTATTTCTTTATTTTCAGTAACCATAAAGAAATTTGTTCCTATTAAATAGCTTCATAAATACGTGGACTTTATGTATATAATATATCTATTAATAATTTTACTTAATGTATAATAATATCTTAGAGTATTGTATAATAATATCCTAGACCTATTGCAGGATTAATTCGATCATAGAAACATAGCTGTCAAGCAAAGTTTTCTTTCTATCAGATTCTTATTCGCAATTTATACATTTTAGCAAGTTAATATTAAATGTGTCTTTGAATATAATCCGATATGAGTAGTAAATTCATTGATAACATACGCTGTTGTTATAAAAATATTATTATGATGTTCTTTCGATAATCTTCATACACGTTTTCTTTTATAAACGTGTTTCTTTTTATAATGTATTACTTATTACATAGCTACCCACCAGCGGCAGAGCAGTAAAATCGCTGAACACTGTTAGTTCGGTTCGAGGTTCGAATCCCGCGAACGGGCTGGCTGCATGGGTATTTTCGTGGTTTTCCCCATGTGTAACGTGTATACGAGCCAGTTCCCCTTCGAAAGCCCTCCACGAAGGCATCCCTCCCCTTAGGCAGATAGATAACCCTCGAGGCTTTGCCGTAATTAAATAACTTAACCTACTTATTACATAATGCAACATTACAATATTACGCCGATAAATAATCTTAACTATTGAGTGCATCTATATCATTAATTTTTATTACGTTTAAAAACTGGTGAACTTTTGAGGTGTAAATCTTAAACACTTACTCTGTAAAACCAAATTTTGTATACTGAATAATTTTATCTAGATTTTCGACTGCTTTTGATAGTGGCATAGCAATTGTTAAATATGTTTGTCTGGGGAATCGTTCTTGTGTTAGTTGTCGAATTTATAGCTGTGGCATAACTATTAATATCTGTTGGTACTAGAATAGAATGCATGATATTGCGTAAAGTTTGTATGTTGCGTAGATCGTGAATATGTAGGAACGGCCAAGAGTGATTCAACATTTTGCTTTTGCTGTATGCAGTTAGTTTATATGATGGTTAACGTGTACTCGTTTAGAAATTTAAAGGTAGCTCTTAAAAAATAGCTATATTTTTTTGCAAACTGTACAGCTTAATTTTTGCATTTGTTGCAACCTTGAGATATTAATGTTTATATACTGACTTGAACTTTTCTGGGAAATGCATGCCTTTCATGATCAAACCTGAGGCGAATTATTCAGAAATTTCATTCATGGTAAAAGTAATTTTTCAGAAGACTTCGATCAGGAAACGAAATTATCAAGTCATTGATATTATGAAGATAACATAATATTTTTCAAATCTATTTTATTAGAATTATTTAAAGATTAAGTGATCAAAGAAAATGTGTCATCGAGTAAAGAAGACTTGTCTAAATTTAGAAAGAGTTTGAAAGGAAATACCGAAGTCTTCTCTATATTTTAAATATATAGCAGACTTGTCTTGAAATTTGTTGAAGATAATAGATGTAAATGGAGAAGAAATCATTCAAAATGATATGATTTTTGAGAAGAATGTACTGTTTATTCATTGTGATGAAAACATTCTGCATGAAACAAAAATGACTTCAATGCATCCTGTTTTCTTCTCACCCAGATCAAAACCTTGTTTCTTCTGTGGCTGCCATGGATCTTGCGAATGCACCGTCCCGCCAAGATAACTGCTCGCCTCAAAGCGGCCCGCTTCGCTGCATCTTCTGGTAGACGATCCTCGAAGTCATCTGCCCCAGATCTCAAGGAACGCTCCTCCAAAAGTCTCTTGGCCAACGTGCTGGATATGGATGACGACTTCCGACTTCAACGTCAAAACAGCACTTCTGCGCCATCTGTGGTAGCAGGCGGTGGTTCATCGAGTGGTTACGTGCAACTGATCGGACCTAGCATCGAAGGAACTCCAACAATGCATGGACCGTCTTCTACCACCGCCAATCCCACCTCCTGCCTCAGTTCCCAGAGGGAACTGTCGGCCATCTTACGCGAGGTCCGTTTCATAACGAAACGAATGCGCGATGATGACGCTACACAGGATATCATTTCAGAATGGAAATTCGCGGGTATGGTCGTGGATAGAGTGTGTCTCATTCTCTTTACTGCCTTCACGATCATCTCGAGTTGTGTGTGCCTATTTTCGGCGCCTCATCTAATGGCCTGATGACAGTGAGACGCTTAACAAGAAAATTGACACTCTCTATAAAGTTTCTTTGCTCTTTATAGGAAATATTCAAGTTTTTCTCTTAACTTATTGGAAAACATATATTACATGCGTATTATATGTTACACATATAACAATGTATGCGTGGTAATCTCTTATAATCTCATCTGCTATTGCGAAAATCGCACAATATCAGTTAAGGACCTTACCTAAAAACAATTAAATTACTTGCTAATTTTATTTTATTTTCTTACACTAAAAGAGTATAAAAGTATTTTAAACTAAATATTTGAATAACTTAAGCACTATCATCATTTAAACGGAAATGTATTTAAAGTCGAAAATTTTCGGTAAGTTGTGTACCTAAATTTTGCTAAGAGGAAAACAGCATATTTCATAAGAAAAATTTCATTAAACATTCTAAACATTAAGCAATTTTCTAAGTGTTCCTTATAAATCATCTATTTCACGACAAGTATATTACTCTAAATGTGCCATAAAATTCTTTCAATTCATGCTATTTCTTGGGCTATGGTAAAAGAAAATTTAAAAATGTTGGTTGGGAAGCAGAATCAAATTTGTTCGTTTAGAATGCAACAAAACACAGAAGGGCTTGCATGCCTAAGGAAAGGCATGTCTATGTAGAGACGTTTGTAAGAGAAACGGTTAGCAGAAAAAATCTTATTATATTGAAGTTTCCGTACTCTTGCTTTAATGGTTTATAATAGGACAAAATATTAAACAGCGGTTTGTGAGATGAATCATTTTAACCATTTAATTTCACATGCTACATCGAAATGTAACATTTTTAACAACTCAATTAAGTTTGGTCTAAAGTTTATTGTTTGGAAATACTCAAACATTGATTCCATAAATTTGAGGATGAAAACAATTAACCATGTTTATACACTGAGACTTTGCTTCAAGGAAGGACTGATATGACGAAAAGGAAAGGAGTTTTACATGGGAATGGTATTTAAAGAATACGTAACTGACTTGCAAGATTATTTTCAGTATGCGTTGCCAGCTTACCATCAATGTAAGAACGCTACAAAAAACATAATTCTACCGAGACTCTTCAGAATGTTTGGCGTTAATGATGGTTTTACTTTTAGATGATAGTTGTTCGCATTACAAGTATAAACAGCTTTGCTTCGGATTTTGTTTCTCTTTAGAAAGATAAACAAAAATATTATATCATGACATCCACAGTTGCGTTTTAGTGACACCTAACTATAGAATCCGAAATAAATTATATGAGTAATAATTAATGAATAAACTATTTTTAAAATTAATTATTAGTGATAACTAAAATTATACCGCATCTGTAATTATTATTATTTTCAAACAAATATCCGTTCATAAGTCTCTTGTAAAATATAATAATAATTGCCTTTTGGTGGATAAATTTTAAATAAAACACCTGAATTCAAGTGGGAAATACTAGGGATCAATACTTTTATCTAATATGCTTTTCATCAATTTATTCGTTCAAAATCATTTCAGAATAAATTCCAATTATTTAACATCTTAAGGTGAAAAGCATCCTTTAATAAACAAATGATCTATAGTTAATGATAAATGGCCACTTAACCGCAAATATGATTATTGTTCTTCGAAACAGGTAGAAAGCTTGTTCAGTTATCGACCAAGATTTCTTTTGAGATTTTAACTTTCGCATGGAGAAACGTTTTAAGCATGAAAAATGATCTGTGAGTGATCACGTGTGAACTGATAGAATTTTACCTAAATTCTATTCCAGTCTAATTTTTACCCTTAAATTTTATATTGGCGGGCTTCTCTTCCAATTCGATACCAGCTAATTTTATTTTAAATTATTGAATTGCTATTAAAAGTGTTATTCAAATAACTCGTGCTGCATATCGCATTAACTTAATTTGCACTGTATAATTATATAACAGTAAATTCTACTTAATATACTTAATATGCATCCTAATACTTAATACACATGCAGCTTCAGACATAAATTCTGGTGCCATGTCTTCCTTCAGTGTTCTAGATCCATAAAATAATTCTTCCAAAAATTACCGATAAACAGTTCTTCAATTAAATTTGCATTTGAAGAAAAGGAATGAATGCACTAGAGAAATTCGCAATGATTTTTTAGTTACTGCTTGAAAAGCACGAAACTAGTTTGAGACAGTTTGTCCTGTAGCTTATAGTCTATGTATCGAACAAATCGGATCTTGAGTATTAAACCTTTAAACAAGCATTCAAAACTAATCATTGGTCTTGATTATGAAACAAAAGCTGTTCATGATTCTCCTTCATTTTGAATTATAAAATTTTCAAATTTCCGTTTCTCCATGGCTTTTTAATAAGAGGAAAATGACTTATAACTCTATGCAAAATGTGCCACTTAATTACTCATACGTGTTTTGGATTATTTTTATTATTTTGGATTATTATAGCATTAATAATCTTTTGAAGACACGTAAATGGAAATTCCGAAATGTATAAACCTATTACGGATTTCAAAATTTTAACCAATATTTGTTTAATTTCATAGCAGAGTATGCATATACATATATATTTATAAAGGCGAACTTCAGGAAAGATAAGAAAATATTTGGCATGATACCTAGTTCTTAAATTAGTTCATGAAAGATATCTAATTGTCACTTTTGGGATGATTTGAAAATCACAAAGTTGCAATCAGATATGATGAGTACAATTAAATTTGTTATATTTTATTATACGAGTAACGTTTAGATTCTAGAAAAAGTAATGTATTCTAATCAATAATCTGCAGAAATTTATCTGAATAACAAATAACCTGGAAAAAAACACGCTTTATGCGCTAATAAGATGTGTTCTTTTAAAATGTAAATATTATACATTTGTTTAAATATCTATTAAACCATAATTATGGATCATTTATTTATTCTTTATTCTCGGCGGTAGGTTTAGATGATGTTATAATGCTATAGACTACAATTTATTGAAAACTTTACTAAATCACATAACTGTGCATATCATTAATCATTTTGAAGAAAAATTAAATGAAGCTCGTTAGTTCTTCCTGAACTTTAAATGAATGTGATGAGGCAAAGGAAGAAAGGTGCTGTTAAAAAAAACACAATTAAGTGCAATTCTAATTGAAAAGTAGAATGTTTTTGCTTTCTCTCTTATTCAGTAACAGAGATATCGATAGGCAAGTGAATATAGGCCCAGAAATATTGTTTTTATTTCCCTCTTTAATACCCCATCCTGCAACTCATTGCTCATGTAAGACAAATCATTTCACAATTGAGCCTAAAGAAGGTAAAAATAACAAAACGTTTCGTTAAGCACTTTAAAAATATCGTGATTAATTTTATAAATATTTTTAACATACAAAGATAATGATTAGATATTCCAAAAATAACATCATTTAAAATTTTCAAAATGCTAATCAAGTTCCCATTTTAAGCTGAGAAAATTCACTGTTAATTTTAGAATGCTTTACATTACATTTGGAAAGTTAAAAATTTCTGTGATATTATCTTGTACTATAATGACATATCACGATGAAAATGGGAGAAAAAATACCACATTGTTAAAATAACATGCATTTGTAATACATATGCTTCTGAAGTCAACATATCTACAATTTCTATAACGTTAAAATTTTAATATTATTTTAAATGATGACGTAAAAGTCAATTCTGCTCAAGTTTTTAAAGCATTATATAACATACAGAAACAAAGGACCATTTATCTGAATGTATTTGTCAAGATACATATTTTTGTGTGTGCTAAAATATTCTGCATATATATATGAAATCGATAAATGGAGACATAGCTACTTAACAAATCAGAAATTCTTTCATATTAACACATTTCTTTTGGGTACTAATACGATGTTCACATCTATTAACGGATGAAATTTTAAAATATCTGGTAAGAAAAAATTGCTATTTTCTCGTTACTTTTTCTTGCTGAAATTAGGTGTACATTATTAAATGTTCTTTGCTTCGAAACCGAACGTTTTATCGCTTAAAATAAAAATTATTATATCATATCATCATAAATATCGTCATAAAAATTATTATATATAATTTTTATGTGCATGTAATGTGCGGAACTGTGAAAAACCACTTATAATATTTTAATTAAATTATATTTTTATAAGCAATATATAATGTTTTAAGACAAAGTATAGGTTTTAATAAAGCTTTATGATCAAAATCTAAAACGGCGAACCCTCTCTAAGAAGACCATGATTCAAGTTGATTTTGTTCTTTAGTACAGTAGATCGTCTTATAGGTCTACAGATCATCTTAAATCGTATTATCGTCTTAAATAAGTAGATCGTCTTAAATACAGCTGTTTCTTTATATTTTTGGTAAATCTATTTCAGAAATTGTCATCTTGGAAAGGTGGTCGTCACCATATGAATCACTTATTTAATTTTCACATCACAGTCTATATATGGTGTGTCACAATATTTAACTGACATACTAGTAACTATTAAACAATGTGAATAAGTGTCACAAAATAAGTGACTTATTTATTAACACTCGCTTTTTAACAGTAATATATGACAATATGGTTATCGTCAAAGACTATCAGTCGGGTAATAACATATTAATATGCCTCCCGGTTGAAATGTGTTAATATGATATTTATAGCTCCATATGAATATTTATTTTGTTTTAAATCTTATGAGCTTCGTGTAATTACTTATACTTTTTTTTAATCCTGAGATATCATGTATTAGCAGCCACTACGTAGATTCTGATTATGATGCATGTCCATTGTATCTGTTACATGAAAGTCTGCTGAATATCGTATATAAGGTTTTGAATTTGTAGTCTCAATTGAGATTTGTAGAATGATTGTTTAAATAATGTACTCAGCCTGATTATTAATTATGTGTCATGAATATTTACTAGATATATAAAGTAGCAAACTGTACAGTAAGGGAATGATTTCTTTTATTAAAGTTTCAAATCAAACACATGTTTACAAACACTGAAGGATTTGTTAATGCTTTTGCTTGCAAGGAAACTCTTTCATATCAAACGTTTAGCCTTCTGTTATAGTTCTTATCCTCAAGCTTTAAAAAAAATTTCCTTTAGGATAAAAAAGATGAAATAAATTAAAAAATTGATATTAATGTCTTGAAAAGCTCTTATAGCATAATTCTAGGCAAAATGTTATCCTATCCTAAGATAAAATATCTAAGATCTTATCAAAACAAAGCAAATGCTTCTGATTTCAAAGATTGGTATGTATTTTTAAAATCGCTAAGCCCAGGTTTATATGAATCATTTCATAGTTTGTAACAACCTCATTGCTAGAATTAACCTTGCTTTCTACATAATACAGTCTAAATAATTAAGTAATATTACACCTTAAAATAATATTTGTTAAGCTTATTTGAAAACCAGAGAGAAAATGCCGAAAAGAAGACGCAATCACTAGAAATGCTTTACGATCATGTAATGAGCACAAATGCCAAAAACGTTAACGCTTTTAAATTGTCTATTTCTTAGAATTGTAATGATTAGGTAAATTTTCTTCTTCCTCAAAACCACCATTAATGTAAATCGAACTCAACTGTAACATCTACACATCACAGTGTTTTCTCACACTTTACAAATTTCATATCTAATCGTACATATTCTTTCTAAGATATTGACGACTAACAATTAGCATCGTTCGTAGTCAATATCTGAGAAAGAATATGCACAATTACATATGGGAAACAAGAGAACAACCATTGTTTTGAACCTGTTCCACTCAAGGAATGTGAAAAATTTTACCTCATTTCGGCAAGACCTCATTCTTTGTTCAACACATCATTCCATTATTTAGCACTTTTATGTGTGAGTGTGTGAGAGCGTTAGAGGAACAGTTTTCTCCGGGACCATATAGTTACAGATTGATGTCTTTTAATTAATGTACTTTTCACGATTGACGTTTAGAACGTTTTTTAATAATTAGCCGTGTTTATTTCAGTTGTTCTTAAAAATTCAAAACTTACTTCGATGAAAAATATCATCATATGTATAACTGTTAAATACAAGTTCACTAAACTTCAGATCTACCATCTAAGCAATATAATGTGATCAGCGATAATAACCAATTTCACTAACCAGATGAGCTATATTTTAAATTAACAATTTTTTCTATCAAAAGTAAGAGATTTCCTCAATATACAGCTTTCTGATGTCGTCATGTCATGTGCCGTACCTTACTTTAAAATGAAAGCTCTCACATGTACTTAATATATACCAGATTTTGAAAGTTTAGACGTCTACAGATTTTGAAAATCAACTAATAACGATTTCATTTAAGATTATTGTGTTTTAAACTATCTTCCATTTTTAAGCGTTCTGAAGATGAACGTTCAACAGGAATTTTAATGAACAAAAATGATATGAAGAACAAAATATTAGTGACTCATTTAAAATTGTTAATAATCAGAGGTAAATTTATGCAAAATAAAATAATACGATGTTCTATTTAATGTGAAATTTGTAAGGTTAAACCTAACTAGCTATTTAATTTGCGCTTGGTTAATTCAAGGGGTTATCGTCTTCGGAAACTAAACAGATGGGCAACTAAATTGCAGTAACATAGACAACAGGTAAAAATTAACTGAAATATTTATTAAAAATTACATATTGTACTGCAATTAACATTTAACATGCACTATCCACTACTATTTATAGTCTTATAAACTCAAGCATTTAAATAAACACCAAAACCCAGAAGATTACTTTTAAACTACTAATGAGCTTGGCTTTACCTAATCAGGATGCTAACTCTTCGGTCTATCAGCTACAAATTTCATTGATAAAATACACATATCCGCTAAGTGGGCGGCTCGTCTTCTTGCTGTTTTCGATAGTTTTCACAGTACTCTCTCTGTTTCTCTAAACTACAGATTTTGCTTTTAAAATTCAATACCATGCTCTTTCTGATGAAAGTCGGCTGATGAAATAGAAGTTACAAAAAATAATGAACAAGAAAATAACGCGTTATCTAAAATAAACTTTATTTTGTCTTTCCATATTAACATAAATGTGATATTTTGAGTCTCTAAACTTTTATTAGAAATTAATATGATCGAAATCATTGATTTGGAACTTTATAAAAGGAAAAGCATTCCTCCGTTTCCTCAATTCAATTTAACGGTAATGAACGTAATTTTGCTCTCATACTCGATTTAAACTCAATCCTTTCATCTAATATACGTAGAGTTAAACAAAACTGGATAAAATGCCAGTTCCTGTTTGCAGATAAGTTTCTGTAACCTGTTCCGTATTACGTCATTAATCTAATATTACATTTTAATTATTTTTGTGCCATTCTTCATCTAAAAAAATACGATGAAGTTTGTGATTCTGATTTTATTGAGTATTATATAGTAAATGTGTAACAAAGATTTTGTATTTTTGCATAATAAAATGGATAAAAAAATGTTTGCTTTTAATCATTTGTGCGAATGGATGACTAAAATGAAAGTAAAATGTTAAAATGAAAACAAAAGGTAAATATTTTCCTTTTAATCAAGATAAAAATATTTTTCGCGAAATAAATTATGTAACATAAAGCCAGCGTTATTTACTTTAGGTTTATTTCTTGCGATCTTTATTTCTAAGAACTTTCGTAGGGCGATTATTAAGAGAAAAAAAAATCAGATGGGCTTACTATTTTGAGAAAAAAATCCGCTTGTTTTCTATATTAACGATACGTTTTACAAATTTTATAAGAGTATTTAAAGCTTATTAGAAAGAGAGCGAAGCTTTATATTGCTTCTAACTTACAAAAGCAGAAAGGTAATGGTTACAGCTAAGCAGGCGAGAAGGAGAGTTCCTACAATGAGAATTTTCAGAAAAATATGGCCCGCATTTATCTTCCTCATTCTCACTTAAAGGATTGTTTACTCTTCCATATCCAAATATACAGCAACAAGATGGTTTATTCAAAAGGTTGAGAAAGTAAACTCAAAAATATGTAGGTAAAACGAAAAAAAATTGAAACGTTTTTAACTTCATTATTGTCGATATTCATTAACTATCGATAGTAATAATAGTGTAACTACTAATTCTCCGAAAGAGAGATCTAATGAAAGAGAAAACTCGTAATTATAGACCTGGTAATTATTTAACTGAAAACATCCTTTCGATAATTTTTTATTTTTTGCCCAATTCATTCTGTTTTTATTAAGAACATTTTATTCTCGCCCCCCCCATTCATTGTATTTTATTTACTTTTTTTTCTTCCTATACATTCTATATTGTTATTTTTTAATTTTCCTCTAGTCATGGTTAATTATGGGACTTTTCTATTACATACTCCTCAAATATATTTCAGGTTTTCACCAAGGGCTTCAATTATTCTTCTTATTCAGAACACAATACAATATCTGAATACTTTATACTCGCTAATACATTGGAAACGTGCTCCATAAATATATTTCCTTTTTATCATGCTATTATTAATTGAATGGCCCTGATTGCTTCTACATGCATCTATATCGTATAAAAATACTGCCGAGTTTCCCTTGCCAATTGTGCAACATTCATGAGGAAATGGGCTCAAACTATTTGAGTCACTACCCTCCACTGGGCTCGGGACACTTAGGGGAGAAATACTGGAGACCGTGGCACAAGATGAACGATTTATAAACTTACTGTAATTTTAGATTTGTTACCTGTTCCTTCTGTTCGTATTTCTGACTACAGTTGTTTTTTAATCTGTCACTGGAAATTTAAAAGGAATTCTGAATTGAATTTTAAAAAATTATTTAACCTTAGTTATGAATCGTATAAAATACTGAATTGTATAACACATCGAGCAGACATTTTGCAAAATTCACATCGAATGATACTTTTTCTATTGATATTAAAGCGTATATTTGAAATGTTATTTTTTGGCTTTTTTGCCTTTTTAAACTTCTTTGTTAAAATTAGAAAAAAAGAATAATATAATTTTCATTTAAATATCAAATTCTCCCTTTGTAATCTCTTTGTTCGTGCTTTTAAAGTAAACTTCCAAACCATCACTTATCTTGTCTTTATTTTTATTCTTTTTAATTTTCTTTTGTTTACTGGTTATTTGTTTGATTTGGATAAAATTTTGATATAAATTTTTGATCTTACTCTACGTGCTTAATCTTTCTAATACTTTCATGCATTTGCATTTGCAACGACGATTCTGATTTTTTTTCCAAATTCGGTAAAAGTGGTTTTTTAAATTGAATTTTTCTATAATATCTTTATTCAACAATCAAATTAGTTATCACTAAATCGAACTCGAACTTTACGCTATTCGATAATTCTCATAATAATCTTCCAACGGTTTTATAGAATTACTAAGTAATCTAAAGAATTTGAGCGTTTAAAATCTTTTTTAGCTACTAGTTGCTAAAAGTGATGGATTTTTAAATGAAAGGGCTGTTATTAATAAACCCTATGATTTAGGATAAGATCTAAATTCAAAATTAATTAGGGAAATAAAGAAGAACAATTTTCCTATGTTCAGAGGCAAGGATTTTCTTTTCGTATTACCTTTAGCGCAAATATTAAAAATTAATTCTTTTAGCTATCATAACAGTCTTCGTTACATATGGCTAAAATTATAACCGTTGGACGCCCATATATGAACTGTATTAGATGATTAAGATAATTTCAAGGAACAATAGATTTAATACTACAGAAATCATAACTGTCAGAGTGACTGAATTCCTTTCATTTAATCTTAGTATGAAAACTGCAATGAAAGATTCACTATTGTTAGGAATCCCTCGGTTTTATTTTTAAGAACATATGACCAAGAGTATTACGATAGCTAAAACCCAATTACATTCAAATGCATTTAACTAAAATCGTGTATTTAAAAACAGTTTATATGTTTTAATTAATCTTGACAACGCTGAATATTCAATCAGCTCTATGAATATTCTAATTTGAACTTCATAAATTTCAATAAAGGCTCTAAACCTAACTTCTCTGTTAATGGTTTTGAAATTCTTTTATATTATTTTCATTTCATTCGCCTTTCACCTATACAGATTGCTTGATGAATGTCAAGGACTCAAAACAACCGAAAGCTTTCCACCTTCTAATCCCTGTTCATTTGGCCTGGTTATTAATATTAAGCTCAGGCAAAAGAAATGGTAACAAATCTCCAAGCAGATGAAATATTTTCACTAGCTGGCTTCGCTTTTCTTTTTCCAAAGTGTTAATATTTAATTGCCAACATATATTGCTATTTTCGTCTCCTACTGATTTTTAAATCTTTTAGTTGAAATAATAAAACAACCATTCTTGCGACGATAAAAATCACATTATATTTTGAAACTATGCAGATATCCCAATGAAACCATTTTTAATCAGATTCCTTTCCCGAAATAAACCAGTGTCTGAAATGACCTCAGTACTGAATACATATTTATGGCTCATGATAATATGAAATATATTCATATATTTAAATGCCAGGAATTCTATAATCATAAAATTCTTTTCTTACTCTAAAAGAAACATTATATTATAAAAATAACAATCTGAATTAAATCAAAAGCAGGTATTCAGTAATTAGGAACGATATATATACGTATGCATTTAATAAACATTTTCTTACTTCCGTATCATATTTTATGATAAATTAAAATTTTTAACAGTTGAATCCAAGCTACGAACAATGTTCTTTCACAGCATGCTAATTATTACCTTCCTGTTACTATAAAATATGAATGTTTACTTCTATGTATTTTTAAAGACTATCCCCATATCTTTTTAATTTCTGTTTAATTATAATAACAGATTTTCTAAACGACTTTTCTTTTATTTATCACATACTTTCAACCAATTTCGTTTTATCCGCTAAATCACTTTCGTTCATGTTATGAAATATTCACACATACAGAATTCTTCTTTTTTTTCCTGTATTCTATTCGAAACCTTTGTTCTTCTTCTATTTTGACTTATTAGATTTGTCTCACTTTCCTTCTAGCTGTCCAATTAGGCTTAATAACATTTCATTTTTTTCTTTTTTCTTCTAGATTTTACAAACGAAACATAGGATTTTTATTAACTATATAATATTCTTCATCAGAAATCACCTCACATAAAAAATGTCACCTATACTTCAGAACCACGAATGATTTCTTAACGTTATTTTAAGAAATGTAATTTCCGTTCCAATTACAGTCCCATAATTATTTCAAAATTTAATTTTAAAATTTTAAATTTGGAAAACCTTATTGTAACTTGACGTATGTAATCTTTTGACAAATTAAATGATTTGGTAGACCTTTCAACTTACCCTTTAAATTAATCTTGCAGTTTCAAACTGTATATGACCACTACATTTAAAAATACTTACAGCATTAATTACATTTACATAAAAAAATATCAATCTGTAGGGTGCCATTAAGTCAGAATATTTCTTGAGCTTTTTGAACTCCCATGCACTCAGAACACAATAAATATGTTATTTCAAATTAAATTTATATATTTTGACTAAAGTTTGTTATATCTGTTAGTTCGTTGACTAAGCTCTCTAAATACAATGTAATATTTCAACCACATTTTTGCATTTTATGATAGTTTCCAAAGCATATAAACGATCACCTTTTTTAATATAAGGACTTATCTTTTCGTTCCTGTAAATAAATTGTATGTTAAGCATTTTAATATCAAAATACATTCGAGATTTAATAACAATTTTTTTCTTCTACATTCTACACATCTATAAACCTTTCCCTGCATATACGCTTTTAGCTGTCTCTCTTATAAGCTATGATCCACTATATTAGCTTTTCTATTTCAAGAAACTTTGTGTGTATTTGATTCCAATCCTAAGTAAAGGTTTTTGGTAATTTTCACGGTATTTTTAATTTTGAATGCTATTTAGTTTTTTTTTTTTTTTTTGTCACAAGAAAATTTGATTTTGTTTGTTTCAAACCTAAGTAAGGAGTCATTTTTATCTTAACTATGTGATTCTTATTCTTAATGTTTAACTGAAGCACTGAAAACTGAATTTCGATTCCTTTCATTTTGCAGGTGAAGACAATCTTCTTGACATGGCTACCGTTTATCCTCCGAATGAGTCGACCGGGAAAGAAAATCACGCGAAAGCACCTCTTCATGAGTTCCAAGATGAAGGAACTCGAATTAAAAGAGCGATCCTCCAGAAGCCTGCTGGCCAATGTCTTAGACATGGACGACGATTTCCGTCAACAGAACAGCACTTCCGGGGGTGGATACGTGCACACGGTCAGCGGGGGCCGGGCCGGGGCGGGAGGGGGGTCGGGGGACGAGACTCCCCTTTACCACCCGTGCCTAAGTACGCAGCGAGAGCTACAGAGCATCCTCAGGGAGCTGCGCTTCATCACGAGAAGAATGAGGGAAGAGGATGAGAATCAGGAAATCATCTCTGACTGGAAGTTCGCAGGCATGGTCGTCGATCGGAT